GACCATCGTCCATAACTTGATTTGCAGGAATACCTAAATCAGTGACATTATCCACAACTTCTTCGATATTACCTAAAACAAAATCATTTACCTAAATAAATTATAAAGGAAAAGAATTTACTTACATGGGTGTGTCATTAGCGGGAGAGTTGTGCCTTCAACTTGTTCATCTTCAGAAGATACTGATAGAGTGGGGGATATATTCGAACACTCCCCAGTATCAGATAAGTCAAAGATCTGCGTTCCCGCATGAAGGAGACTCGGCTGTGAACTAGAATCATTTTCACATACATTCATACGAACTGTAAATAATCGGTCAGTTATTAAGGCAAGGTTTTCGACGTTTACTTTCGCTGCTGCATCTAGGGGGCAGGTCGATTGGAGTATAGAAGCGTGGAGGTCGATGTGTTGTTTTCATAAGGTTCAAGAGGCAAGGTGCCCGATAATTAGGGAGTTTTGAAAAATCTATCGGAATACGTACACCTTGACAAGAGAGGCGGGTCTCTGCAAGTCTTTGTAATTTAATTCGGCGAAATGGTGCAAGGTACTTACCAAAGGTACTTCCTTTTTTCAAAATCGACTTTAGCGTAGTCTCTGTCAGTTTGAGGGAGGAAGGTGGAGGAGATGCTAACACTAAGGGATCATTAAAGGAAACTCTTTTACGCGCAACATCTCCTGAGCATTTTCCAGTTCGGTCATCTACAGTATTGGATATCCTTCGGGTTCTCCCATCTTCCAGATTTGATATGCTTCGGAATAAAACTTTACTTGCTGGTAATTTAGAACTTGGTGTCGATTTCGCAGAAGGAACTCTGATTTTCTTTGTTATCCCCTTATCGATAGCTTCACCTTGAATTTCTTTGACTTGGTTGTCGTCATGTGACGTAGTTTGTTCACTGAATGTCACAGTTTCTGTTTCGGTGGCCGTACTTTCTGTAGTGCAACCATTTCCAGCTGGCCGTACTTTTTTTGATTTCAAGATTGGATGTTTCTTCGGTGCTTTCAACTGGAAAATTAAAACTCAAGCAAGTTTTTCTTGCAGTAGCAGAATGCTTACCTCACAGTTTTCAATATATTCATGCAAAATCGTTTGAAGCTTTATCAATTCGGTAAACATCAATTTACAATTGTTACAAATTGTGTCGGTGTACACGGTTTTCTGCAGTTTGAGATTTTAGACATTGTAAAGATATAATTACTCTACTTACAAATTGATGCTGACGTTTGAAACGTTTCAAAACCTTCTCTTCCAATTCCTTATTCATTGTTTTAAACACTCGAGTATTACGATCAACACCACAGAAGAAACAGCCTCGTTTATGGGTCACATTATATAATCTTCTTGACTGACAGACCTCCATGATTTTCTTAGAACAGCTCGATGTTAAGTTCTTGCAAGATTCGCAGAGAAAGAATCCTTGTCTGGTGCAAAGTACCTGGAATGCAATTTTTTATACATGCATAGTCTTAAACTAGATCGGTACCTCATAGAGCATACACGTTTTCGTGTCTTTGTATTCAGAGCCATCGGGTGTAATGTAAAACAGGCCAGCAGACTCCTCTCCGCAGATTCCACACACTTTCGTTTTCACATCTAAAGATATTTCGAAAAATCGTTAGAAATCTTATTACAAATGAAGATATACTAACTACGAGTGAAACTCAACAAGATACTCACCACACACTTCAAGTTTCTCCATATTAAAAGCCTTTTCTTGGGACGATGTATAAAACGTGTATAAATTGATTACTGTCAAACATGACATTTGTCATAAATTGTTTCGCCTACTGCTGCTGATTTGAAATTTGATTAAAACCCGCTAGAAGCGATCAAATTATAATCCTTTGACGCACTCAATCGTGCGTTGAAATTGTTGCCTATAGTGTGATATTAAGAAACGTTACGCGTGGGAGTGACGCCATCCAAGACACCCACGAAGACATCATGGTAATCAGCGAAGTACCTGTTACGTTAGCGACCCAATACGAAGTAGCAAGAGATGCAGTTCAGTAAATCGTGGCGGAGCTCTGCGAGAAGCACTCACGAGAAGAAGTGGCTACGAAACTCTTCGTCTCCAGCGAATATAGAGTCCGCAATTACTACGAGGCATGGACCGGCTTCCATGACCTGTTCCACAAAGTGGTGCACTCCAACAAGAGGTTATCCCACGTGGAAAAAATGCAACATTTGAAAACAAATCTAAAAGGCGAGGCCAGCAAACTACTACAGCACCTGCCGGTATGTAGCCATCTACAACGACGCGTGGATGCTGCTAACGCACCGCTACCAGAATAAGCGTCTACTGCTATCCAAGCAACTCAACAACATCTTCAACCTACCAAAAATGAGCCCACACGCGCCAGAGGGACATCCATGACACAATTGCCGATAGCCTCTGCGCAATTACAACATGGGTGTACTAACGGAGTCCTGGGGACCCATGGTGATGCACATCGTATTCGACAAGGTGGATGCGGCAACATTGGCCGCTTTTGAGAACACCCTACAAGCACCAAAAGAGGTATCTTCATTCAAAAACTTCTTGAACTTCCTAAAAGCACGGTTCCAATCTTTGGAACTTACCAAGGGCAATAAAGGCGCAAAAAGATAGACTCTTGTAGAAATTTCAACCGGCAACACCACAGGATGTCGGAAGCCCTACTGAAAACCGCCAATGAATGGAGGTAGCTGGTATCTTCTCCACTAGCATAGAGGATGCAACTGAAATATTGCTGGCCACAGCCCTCATTACAGTCAAGAATCAACAAGGTGAATGGGAGTGTCTTAGAGCACTGCTGGACAGGGGATCCTAGATGTCCTTCGTCACCGAAGAGGCCGCTGAACGCTTGGGTCTTCGCAGAAAAGGGGTTTTCGTGGAGGTCTCCGGCGTAGGCCTAACGGGCGCAGGCACCGTACGAGGAAAGGTCGAGGTCGAAATCAAACCAAGATTCCCCAGTAACTTCAAAGTCAAAAGCCATCTACTGATTATGAAGCAACCCACTGCATCGTTACCAGTTCTTCCAGCCCGAGACGTCGCATCCTAGCTTCGTCAAAAGGGACTTCTAGCCGACCCGCACTACAACGTTCCGATGATAATTGGGTCTGATGTACTTCCGTATCTGGTTTGAGCCCTTGCTTGACCAGATACGGAAGTACATCTGACCCAATTATCATCGGAATGTTGTAGTGCGGGTCAGCTAGGAGTCCCCTTTTGACGTAACTGGATGCGACGTCTCGGGATGGATGAACTGGTAACGATCAGTGGGTTGCTTCATAATCAGTAGATGGCTTTTGACTTTGAAGTTACTGGGGAATCTTGGTTTGATTTCGACCTCGATCTTTCCTCATACAGTGCCTGCGCCCGTTAGGCCTACGCCGGAGACCTCCCCGGAAACCCATTTTCTGCGAAGACCCAAGCGTTCAGCGGCCTCTTCGGTGACGAAGGACATCTAGGATCCCCTGTCCAGCAGTGCTCTAAGACACTCCCATTCACCTTGTTGATTCTTGACTGTAATGAGGGCTGTGGCCAGCAATATTTCAGTTGCATCCTCTATGCTAGTGGAGAAGATACCAGCTACCTCCATTCATTGGCGGTTTTCAGTAGGGCTTCCGACATCCTGTGGTGTTGCCGGTTGAAATTTCTACAAGAGTCTATCTTTTTGCGCCTTTATTGCCCTTGGTAAGTTCCAAAGATTGGAACCGTGCTTTTAGGAAGTTCAAGAAGTTTTTGAATGAAGATACCTCTTTTGGTGCTTGTAGGGTGTTCTCAAAAGCGGCCAATGTTGCCGCATCCACCTTGTCGAATACGATGTGCATCACCATGGGTCCCCAGGACTCCGTTAGTACACCCATGTTGTAATTGCGCAGAGGCTATCGGCAATTGTGTCATGGATGTCCCTCTGGCGCGTTGGGCTCATTTTTGGTAGGTTGAAGATGTTGTTGAGTTGCTTGGATAGCAGTAGACGCTTATTCTGGTAGCGGTGCGTTAGCAGCATCCACGCGTCGTTGTAGATGGCTACATACCGGCAGGTGCTGTAGTAGTTTGCTGGCCTCGCCTTTTAGATTTGTTTTCAAATGTTGCATTTTTTCCACGTGGGATAACCTCTTGTTGGAGTGCACCACTTTGTGGAACAGGTCATGGAAGCCGGTCCATGCCTCGTAGTAATTGCGGACTCTATATTCGCTGGAGACGAAGAGTTTCGTAGCCCCTTCTTCTCGTGAGTGCTTCTCGCAGAGCTCCGCCACGATTTACTGAACTGCATCTCTTGCTACTTCGTATTGGGTCGCTAACGTAACAGGTACTTCGCTGATTACCATGATGTTTTCGTGGGTGTCTTGGATGGCGTCACTCCCACGCGTAACGCTTCTTAATATCACACTATAGGCAACAATTTCAACGCACGATTGAGTGCGTCAAAGGATTATAATTTGATCGCTTCTAGCGGGTTTTAATCAAATTTCAAATCAGCAGCAGTAGGCGAAACAATTTATGACAAATGTCATGTTTGACAGTAATCACTTTATACACGTTTTATACATCGTCCCAAAAAAAGGCTTTTAATATGGAGAAACTTGAAGTGTGTGGTGAGTATCTTCTTGAGTTTCACTCGTAGTTAGTATATCTTCATTTGTAATAAGATTTCTAACGATTTTTCGAAATATCTTTAGATGTGAAAACGAAAGTGTGTGGAATCTGCGGAGAGGAGTCTGCTGGCCTGTTTTACATTACACCTGATGGATCTGAATACAAAGACGCCAGAATGTGTATGCTTTATGAGGTACCTATATAATTTAAGACGATGTCTGCAAAAAAATTACGTTTATTTAGGTACTTTGCACCAGACAAGGCTTCTTTCTCTGCGAATCTTGCAAGAACTTAATATCAAGCTGTTCTCAGAAAATCACGGAGGTCTCTCAGTGAAGAAGATTATATAATGTGACCCATAAACGAGGCTGTTTCTTCTGTGGTGTTGATCGTAATACTCGAGTGTTTAAAACAATGAATAAGGAATTGGAAGAGAAGGTTTTGAAACGTTTCAAACGTCAGCATCAATTTGTAAGTAGAGTAATTAGATCTTTACAATGTCTACAATCACAAACTGCAGAAAACCGTGTACACCGACACAATTTGTAACAATTGTAAATTGATGTTTACCGAATTGGTAAAGCTTCAAACGATTTTGCATGATAATATTGAAAACTGTGAGGTAAGCATTCTGCTACTGCAAGAAAAACTTGCTTGAGTTTTAATTTTCCAGTTGAAAGCACCGAAGAAACATCCCATCTTGAAATCAAAAAAAGTACAGCCAGCTGGAAATGGTTGCAATACAGAAAGTACGGCCACCAAAACAGAAACTGTGACATTCAGTGAACAAACTACGTCACATGACGACAACCAAGCCAAAGAAATTCAAGGTGAAGCTATCGATAAGGGGCTAACAAAGAAAATCAGAGTTCCTTCTGCAAAATCGACACCAAGTCCTAAATTACCAGCAAGTAAAGTTTTATTTCGAAGTATATCAAATCTGGAAGATGGGAGAACCCGAAGGATATCCAATACGGTAGACGACCGAACTGGAAAATGCTCAGGAGATGTTGCGCGTAAAAGAGTTTCCTTTAATGATCCCTTAATGTTAGCATCTCCTCCACCTTCCTCCCCCAAACTGACAGAGACTACGCTAAAGTCGATTTTGAAAAAAGGAAGTACCTTTGGTAAGTACTTTGCACCATTTCGCGGAATTAAATTACAAAAACTTGCAGAGACCCACCTCCCTTGTAAAGGTGTACGTATTCCGATAGATTTTTCAAAACTCCCTAATTATCGGGCACCTTGCCTCTTGAACCTTATGAAAATAACACGTCGACCTCCACGCTTCTATACTCCAATCGACCTGCCCCCTAGATGCAGCAGCGAAAGTAAATGTCGAAAACCTTGCCTTAATAACTGACCGATTATTTACAGTTCGTATGAATGTATGTGAAAATGATTCTAGTTCACAGCCGAGTCTCCTTCATGCGGGAACGCAGGTCTTTGACTTATCTGATACTGGGGAGTGTTCGTATATCTCCCCCACTCTATCAGTATCTTCCGAAGATGAACAAGTTGAAGGCACAACTCTCCCGCTAATGACAAACCCATGTAAGTAAATTCCTTTCCTTTACAATTTATTTAAATGATTTTGTTTTAGTTAATATCGAAGAAGTTGTGGATAATGTCACTGATTTAGGTATTCCTGCAAATCAAGTTATGGAAGATGGTCTCGATTTTCCAAAAACAACTTCCGACTTCAGCTGCGACGGTAAGTAACCCTTGTTTAATTACGTCATTAGTAATTTGGAATTTTGTAGTAATAATTAATGAACTTTCACAACTATCAAGCGAGGAAGATTATTCCGAAAGCGATTCTGGTTCACTGGTTAGTGTCCTTAATATGGGAACGCATTATTTATCCGATGATGAGTTGTCAGTAACTTCTGAAGATGTTAAATATATGGACAAAGTCGTCCCACAAGCAGCAGATTGTTTACCAGATAATAAGGAATCGGAACAAATCACACCACCTGCTTTGTCTCTACGTTCTCAATCAGATGGTCAAGTTGAGGTTGGATATACAACCCTTCCTCCACTAACAGATACAAGTAAGTGAATTCTTTTTCTTTACAACTTATTTAAATGATTATGTTTTAGTTGACAGCAATGAAGTTATGGATAATGTCGCTGATTTGCTTAATCCTGCAAATCAAGTTATAGACGATGGTATCGATTTGCCAAAAACCGCTTCCGACTGTGACAGTAAGTAACGCTTGTTTCCATACCTCATTAGTAATTTTGAATGTTGCAGTAATGATTAATCAACCTTCACAAATATCAACCGAGGAAGATTATTCTAAAATAGATGAAGATTTGTATTACGAGAATTTGATCGAACAACAAGAATTTGAATAACAATTAATCTTGTAAATTCAACTGTAATGTCCCAATTTGTGATTTTTTTGTATCACATTTTGAAATAAATATTACTTTTTTGGAAATACTTGATAATGATCAATGTGAGCCTTTAGGTTTCCAAGTACCCGAAAATTGGATCCGGATAACTGGGCATGCTACTGTGAGCACGGGAATACCATAGATTGGCTTCAATTTGTTTAATGATATTTGATACAATAAATTGCCTTCACATAATAACTAATTGACACAACCACTGCCCTTCATTTGAGTTTTCTCTTAAATTTGATTATGTAATATAAAATATTATGTAATATTTGTCTCATCTTATCTACGGTCATTGCGATAAAAGCGATTTTGTAAGTTTACCGCTTATCCTTTCTCAGCACCCATTAAAGAGAGTTTTCCATCATCATAGAACCAATTGTACATCAGTAATTACAACGAACCCAGTGTCGTCTAAAGTGAGAGTCAAATGCAGTCAAAAAAGTTGCAGAAGCAATATCAATTGGTTTTTTATGTTTGTGTGTGCATTTTGTTTATTGAAAATTGCATTTGCGACCGCCAATGAATGGAGGTAGCTGGTATCTTCTCCACTAGCATAGAGGATGCAACTGAAATATTGCTGGACACAGCCCTTATTACAGTCAAGAATCAACAAGGTGAATGGGAGTGTCTTAGAGCACTGCTGGACAGGGGATCCCAGATGTCCTTCGTCACCGAAGAGGCCGCTGAACGCTTGGGTCTTCGCAGAAAATGGGTTTCCGGGGAGGTCTCCGGCGTAGGCCTAACGGGCGCAGGTACCGTACGAGGAAAGATCGAGGTCGAAATCAAACCAAGGTTCCCCAGTAACTTCAAAGTCATAAGCCATCTGCTGATTATGAAGCAACTCACTGCATCGTTACCAGTTCGTCCATCCCGAGACGTCGCATCCAGTTACGTCAAAAGGGGACTGCTAGCTGACCCGCACTACAACGTTCCGATGATAATTGGGTCAGGTGTACTTCCGTATCTGGTCAAGCAAGGGCTTAAACCACGAGAGTAGGTTGGATTGTTTCGGGGAAGACAAAGATCACCAGAGAAGAAAGCGTACCTGTACAAAACATGACGAGGCCGCGTTAATCAAATTCTGGGAAATTGAAGAAGTCCAACCCCAAGGGTAGTAATATCGCAAGAAGATGAACAATGCGAGGAAGGTATTAAGAGACAACAACGCGGAGTGTAGACAAAAGCTATATCGTAAGCGTGCCGCTGAAATAAGAAACTGATGGGGCGGGAGACACAAAAACGAAAGCAACCGCCCGCTTGTTACAAATGGAGAAGAGGTTTTCTTACGATCGAGACTTCGAAGCCAAGTACAAGGCCTTCAAGCGAGAATGTGAAAGTCTGGGACCTATGGTAGTGCGACAGGCGAGGTGGTGTTTGACGCCTCAGCCACCTCCAGTTCGGGGAAAAGCCTGAACGAGATGATGCTCCCAGACTACAAGAAGACTTATCACAATTGCTATTCAGATAGAGAAAATATGCTGTAGTAATCCAATTCCGCCGATATCGAGAAAATGTACAGACAAATCAGAGTACGAGAAGAAGATCAACTGTACCAGACTATTTTTGCAAATTATGCTGGTGGTTTAAAATTTAGCAGAATACATAGCCCAGTATGTATACATTCCTCTCTCTATACTTTATTTTTGCCACTTTAAAAATCTGCTATTTTTATAGTTTTAAGTAAATATGCTGCGTCGTTGAAGTACAGCATTGCAAATTAGAAAATTAGATACAACGCGTGATGGTAAAAATAAAAATAAAACAAAAATGAGCGTAACTTAAACGTAAGTATAAACACAGAATCTAAATATACGTGGTATAAATAGCTCGGTCTAAATGTAAATCGAAGAGAATATTGTGAATCGGTTTTTATTGTAGCAGGAAATACCAGTTGATTTATATAATGCATTAGGTCTACTATTCTGCTGCGACGAGCCTATCGTCTATTTTGTTCTGTATCGATTTCAGCGACGCATTCCACATGAAAGGCTGTAAGTCATAATGCATTGAAAAGACGTCACAAAAGAAGGTCTTTCGTTCAGTTCTACTTGAATATCACCACAATATCAAATAAGAAAAACTGACTTAGCTGTCACAATTCCACGAATGATGTTTAATTAATCACTGCTGAAATTTATGGAAATATGGAAAATCTGTGCATAGATTAACCTGATTTCGTGTTAATTTCAGGCTGTTTATGACATAATTAATAATTAGCTATTAAACTTGTGGATTTGCTATCTGCTTTTAACGGTGGAGGTTTAATTTTCGAGTTTAACAAGAATTAAAATTTAAAATTGAACACATAAATTTCCCCCTAATACCTAGGAGTTTAGTTTGGATTGCACTAAGCCCGATATTGTATTGTTTGCATGGAAATTATTGGGCTGTTTTTTTGCTCTATAAGTTAGAAATTTGAAATGGAGTTAAAAGATTTACACATATTTTATGGTCCCCAATTTAATTACTGTAAAGCTCAACGTTTATAGTGATAAACCTAATGTTTCCTTTCCAAAGGGATAAAATTCATTTCCCAAAATTGTTCGCTTCTATTTCATTATACATGTCTTATCTGCGCATTGTGTTAACATTACACGGTTAAATTTACATTCAAGCTTGTTTGTCGAAATTTGTGTGGCGTAGACTGGAAGTTGACTATGAACCAATTATATTCTGATAAGGAAACGCACATTCGCAAATGTGGGGCCGGACAGATTTAGCGAAAATTCTACAAATGACACCCTCCCAATCATCTTTTAACGCTTCCAGACGAATCCGCTTCGACCAAAGCAATTTCTCCCTCTAATCATTCGAATAGAGAAAATGAAATACCTTTTCAAAGTCCGTGCAGCAGTGAGACAAAATGGGACAAGTTTCGAGCATTAAAATTAAACAGCTGAGCATTACACACTACTGCATACTGGCCACGATTTTCTAATCAACGCTGGAAAAAGGGTTACTTACATTTTAAGAGTTCGCACTTGCCAGGTCCTTGGAAGATTTTAAGCTCGGGACATTTTTCCAAAGCAAATTGCGTTCTTGCAAAATTCGTTGGAAAATTAAGATTCGGAAGAACCGACACACGAGCCGAAAGCTCGCCGACCTCGATCTCTGAGTGCGCCGGAAGCAATCACGCTGCCTCTTCGAGGTCGATACTGCGGGGTTGAGCCCTCTCCGTCGCAGCGGAACCAGGTCCCGCTGCCTCGGTGGAGCTCTATTCCTTACCTGGCGCAGCCGAAGCACCCGCTTTCGTCAGACCCCCCCGTGCGCCTGAAAGTTCTGCCGGTGGAGTGCCTGATAGGACGTCTCATCGACACCAAATGCGAGGAGAATCCCACCAGGCTCCTCCCTGCGGAAGAACGTCCTCCATAGACTCGTCCTGAAAACAGGATTTTGCCTCTGGAGGCGCTTCAAAACGGTGGCCGTGTCATCCGGGAGCCCGTACAACACATCCATCACCTTGGTTACCCTCCGGACGTGCCTCTGAATTTTCAGCGACGCGCCATCCCAGAGCCTAATAAAAGAACCCTCGTTCTTATATAGCCTTAGGTTTACCTTATAGGTCTTCCAATCGTTTATAGCTTTCCTCTTCTTTGCCTTATTGAACAGTTTACCCAACTGATTTTTGTGCTTTTCGAGCGCCCTGTACCACCAAGGATGGTCATAGGGCGTCTTGGCAGTCCTCAGAAGACATGCCTGTTCAAATGACTTCACAATAGGGTTGGTAAGAAGATCTACTGTGCCCTGTATTTCGTCAGGACCCGAGAGGCGTTCCCCGAAAGGGTGCTTTCTAAGTTTTTCTCAAAGGAGATGTTTGTAAAAGGGAATGTCCGGTACCTTGGGGTAGCGATAACCCTTTTGGACGGCTCCTTTGCAGTAATTAAAAAAAAATGATCTGATATAATCGCTTCTGGGGTGACTTTCCAGTTCGTTATGTAGTCAGAGATACTCGATGATCCACACTAGTATACAACGCGTTGCTCAAAATTGAGTTGGGGGAGACAGCGGAATAAAAGGTGGAGGGGGAGGGAGAGGAATCCAATTCCCTCGTCCATGGTAGTTTGATAAAAGGTCTCTCGTCAAGGTGAAAACCGGTCAAATCTTTGAGAGAAACTGAATCACAAAGTAAGTGCACACCTGGCACGCGCAACTCCGTTTTTTAATATCTGCACTCAATTTGCTTCTACAATAATACTACTAAAGGTTTTACCCTTATAGGGAGTAACTTTAGCGTTTTTTCCATGACTTGATCTACTGATTCCCGATTGTACAAATTATAAACATTCTTATAAATAAGAAACTTGGCATTGTGAACACTTGATGTTTAAAATATGCGATATGTTTACCTTTACTAGAAGAATCTTTGCTTAAAATTATGAGAAATGCTTATCATTAGACAGGTGGTTCGTCTATGATTATTTAAATTAAATCCAAGTCATTATTACATAAAAATGCGAAATTATGGCTTCTATTAACACTGATAAAATTAGCAGATTTTTTTCTTTGTGCACAATTTCGTTATCTTATTTGTTAGGCATTATTGTAACTGATCTCAGTTTCTTGAAATCTTTGAGTAGATACTGCAGACAGACAAAGAAAAATCTTCGCTATCACCAACCCGATATTTTAGTGTAGCAATTTTTTTCACTCCAGCTCACGTTAAATCACGGTGACTTGCCATTTATGACATTCAATTTTCATGTTTACATTCATATTACCGCTTAAGAATAATGAGCAACGTTTAAGCACTGTTTTGCTGTTGAACAAATGTTTATTGTACCATTTGGGTGAATTTACTCTCATAATTAATTTAGGATATTTATGCATGTGTAACTAAACGCTAACCTCATTAATAACATACATACCGCGACACTGGTTCTGCTATAAATGCATTAGCATAACACACCTCGCTGAACTTAAAATTTTCTTCAGCCGATCTGGTTAATAATATTAC